AGACTTCTGTGTTCCCGTCATGCAATCATTCAACATCACACCCTCAACATTCTCGCCGCCCTCGCCGTCTCCAATGCCAACCTCATCAACCAAAGTTTCTTAGACACGCCGCTCCCAAACACTGGAGTCTCCGATCAGCAGTGCCTTCGAGCCACCATGTCCAGTTGACTGCCAATACCCGTTCCAGATCATTGACACAGCGTCCCTTCTCCGTGGGCAACTGAGGATGCCAGCCCTTCCATTTCCTTTGCCGAAGGCACAGAACTCCACGGTCGCCAAGACCTTGCAAGTACCGCGCGAATTGTTTCTGGTTTCCACCGGTATGCCTTCGAAGGATGGCGACAAGAGAATCGACGTCTGTGAATGGACGCAGCAAGCCCGCCTTTGTGTCGTGGCCGTCGAATTCTGTGTTCGCTGGGCCAGATCGGGTCTTTCTTGTTTCTCTAGGCAAGAGATTTTCGAGATCAGCGGGCGATACATCTTTTGAGTCCGAGGGCATCCGTCTTGGCAGATATCGCCTCGCACTTCGCGGCAAAGAACACCGTGGACACAACTGCATTTGGCAAAGGCGGTCTTTACATCATGATCTCGAGACTGGTGGAGACGCGTTTTCCCAACACATCAAGACAGACCAGCTTGGCCGAAAGGGGTTCCATATCAGCGTGAATAACGACGATATCCACCGAGCCCAGATACATCAGCAGTGATGGCTTCCCAAGAGCCAGTTCAAGACGCTTCCGGAAAAGTCCAACCAGGGCTCGAGGGCCAAACAAGACGCGGATGTGACCATGAAGCACCTTGATCTTGTTGAGCTGGCTGTTTGTCGCGTGGTGATGCCGGCTGTCCCAATTTCCAGACGGTGCCTCTCATGTCCGTCTTGGCAACTGTTTGAGCATCGACCAATGGGTGTATTCGCTGCCACCAAGGAGTGTCCTGCCACCTCGCAACCAGGTTGCGCGTCGTAATTTGTGCGACAGGAAAAGTGTAATCAAGTCGAAGAACACTTCCAAGATGCTCGCCCACTAGATCACCGAAGCCCGAGTTGTCTTGTGGTCGAACAGGGCGCAGATGATGCGGTAGTAGACCCTGAAGCGTTGAAGAGCTCTGTACTCGGGGACTTAAGCCACACAACGTGTGAGTTGGGGATGGTCGAAATTGGATCCTGACGAGGAGGTCATCTGGGCAGCCGAGCACGAAGGAATCTGCGTATGTCAGGACCCAGGGCCAGTTTCGGTGGAGACGGGGCTCGTAGAGTTGACCGAATGGGATCCCCGAGGTGATGAGAAAGGTGTTTGCGAAAGGGTGTGCACCGCGATCAGTACCATCCCTCTTGAGGTGACACTAGTACGAAGGTCAGGAGGGGAAACAAAAGACTCTGTTGGGGGAGGGCGACTGGCTTACCCGGCGCCGAGCGACGGACGCGACAAGATAATCTTCATCGTAGATCCATTCCAGGACCTGTCGCTCCTTTCCTTGGACTGTGGTATGGGGAGGCAATATGCGATTAAGTCAAACTTGCAACACTACAAAGGCTGTTAGTGACTTCGTAAAGGATTCCCTAATAGGCCAGGCAGCCCGGCAGCATGTTCACCTTTCAGTCACCCCACTGCGTACAGTTGAGGAATTTGGTGCGAATGTCAGCAAGAGTCGGAAAGTTGCGGATGATCTCTTCGGGTCCGATTGCGTCGATTTGGCGGTCGCCTTCGGAGAGAAGGAGACGAAGGAAGGTCGAAGATTCTCCCAAGCAGGTCGCCGAAATCGTCCGGGAGGCCATAGAGCAGAGAGGGAACCGCCTTGAGAGTGGGAGTAGCTGGGCCGGCGGATGGCTGGGGCGTTTCTTCAGGCATGACGTTTTCACTTGGATTGCTGCCAGGGTTCCTTTGCAGGTGGGCTAGGTTCCCCTCGAAAACCGACAACACCTGGACTCCGGGTACTGCCTCAGTTGATGACTGGCGAGGACGCTTCGGCTGCGTGATTGCGGCTGGGCTGTCTTCGCGGCCGGCGCTGGAGTCAAACACGGACTAACCCGGCGAAGCTGGTTGAAAAGCCTGGAAGTGCTTCGTAGGTGTTTCAAAGCAGCGCGACGAGCTGTGGTGAATATGGACGTGAAGGTAGAGGGTCTGGCCACAGAGGCCTGGTCATGAACCAAGCGTCCTTGTTCTTTTCCCTGTTTTATATTGGTATCGGCACCAGTCTCTTCGCCATCGCCGTCTTCGCGGCGACGAAACGTTGGTCCGGGCGAGAGCTCTTTTTCATTTCGATACGCAGCGTCAACACCGACATCAACATCGCCGCCCTCTTCGTGGCGAAGATTATGCGGGGCGGGTGTGGGATTTTCCTCGCCTCCATCTTCGGCGTCTGCATCGGTACAAGGATCGGGATCGTCGGAGTGGTCTCTAGGGCTCTTATCGGCTGCAAAACGGTGTGGTCAGCTTCAAGATCAGACCCAAGCGGACGGTCGAAGGTACGGGTGAAGGTCGCTGGGGTGATCTTACTCAGCTTGAAGATAGCGGCGAGGAAGCCGAGCGGCGGCGTGGCCGAGGCAACATTGGCGTGTTTGAGAAGCAATGGCAAAGGTTTCGTTAAAGACAAGGAGTATTCCGTCACAGAAGCAGTTGAGAGCGTGCGAGGCTCGTTTGAAGGCAACAACGTTGACGCCGAAGTGGAAGCGAAGGTACTGCTTGCGAGCAACGTTCTAGCTATAGCTGGCAGAGCCGTAGATGTAGCGTAGGATTCGGCCGTCAAGGATGGAGTGTCGGTTCGGCTCATTGCGCGCGCTGAGAAAGAAAGGGACGTCTGGCAGAGTACCAGCGGCGACTTCGTCTGCGGATCGGTTCTCTATGCTCGCCTAGGCTGTCTGGATTGACTGCGCCGCGATGCGGTCGGTGGCGGCATTTGAGTGTGCGACCGAGCGGAGGGCCTTTGAGGGCGGATGCGGACTGTTGGGTCAGGTTGACGATGCCATGGGCTTGTCGTAATGAGATCCTCAATGACCTGGCCTTTCGGAACCCATCGGTGCGGGATTGGACCAAGATGTCTTGGCCGGCAGAGGGGAAGAGAAAACTAACTAAATTTTGTCATCCTTAGGGGGGGAAAGTTGAATTATTGTGTAACACGCAGGCACCGATGGACGGGGAGAATTGCGGCTCGTGCCTACCTACCGGGCATTTTCCGATTTGTCGTCGCGGAGGAACCTCGGAAAGGCCACAGTACCTTACTTCCTTTGGGTGCGGAGTAATAACAGCCAATCAACACAGGTCTGGCTGTTAGGCCGCACCACGACCTTTGTCGGCTCTGGATGTGCACTGTGACGAAGTATGGAAGGTATCCTCATTTCCGCAACTGCCTTATTTATTTGGCCCGACAGCATCACACAGGGAATCTGCGGCAATTTACGGGGAAATCCAACTTGGAACTGGACACAGCGCACCGGACCTTGAATTTGCCGGCGAATCGGAGGCAAGGACTGGTCATCTTCCTGCCTGCCTGCGAGGGTGAAGTCGCAAATGCCAAATTCGTTTCCATAACCTACCGCGGTTTCCGTTTAGTACCTACACCAGCTAGTCCCCAGCCTCCAGTCGCTAGTTTTTCCTTTCCAACTTCAACATAACAACATCTGGCCAGTTCATCCACTTTCCAACCCAAAACAAAACCAAACCAAAACCAAAACAGAAAAAACGAAGCAAATACCTCTAGCAGCAGACCATGGATGCGGTCGATAGAGCTACGCAAAGGGTCTGATCAAACCAACTCCAGCCTCATGGGACGTCTTCACCAAACCAATTGCAAACCAAGTCTAGCCTCATGGGACGTCTCTTTTAGAGGCGTCTACAAAGACCGCTTTACTTGCACCATCAGACCCGCGACAGAGACAAGAAAGACAGCGACACCGGTCAGATCAAGCCAACTTCAGCCTCATGGAACTTCTCTTTCAGAGGCGTCTACAAAGACCGCTTTGCTTGCACCATCAGGCCCCCAACAGAGAAAAAGCGACACAGAAAAAGATCGACAACAACAGTACCGCTTCTTTGCGGTGACGTATTTCAGTCTATCCTCCGCGAAGCTACCATCCGTCAAGCTATCTCCGACTGTTCGGGCGACTTGGCCACATTCGCAGCATCCCACATGCTCCGGACAAGCATCCGTCCAAGATCGGTCCGAAATTCCGAGACTCTGGCTGCCTGATCTACGGGCACCGAATACAATTTGGCGCCCACGGTGCATCCCCGCCCACCCTGTCTGCCTTGGTCATGTTCGCGACATCATCGTGGACCTCCGGTACCCGTGTCGATTCCGATGCCAATGCCCACCGCCGCAGAGGAGTTCCCGAGATGGTCGCAACGGTGACGGAAGATGGGTTGCTCTACTTGCACCATCTCGCAGTCTGGGTTTCCACTTCCTTACAGCCCCACGACTCCATACAGATCTGAGTCCTGTTCCTCGGTTTGAGCTCGATCTGCCATGTCAGTGAAGCCCTGCTTATGTACCGGAACCTCTGCATCAGACACGCAATGACTAATTCTCTTCATGTAGATGTCCAATATGACAACACGAGTGTGACTAGCTGGCTTCTCGATCGAGACCAGCTCACCGCCAGCCTGATCAACATGTTCTCCGACCACACTGCGTGTCGGTCAGTTTTTTCTGGGTTACGATATCAGCCGACTTTCCCGCCATCAACCCGCAGATTTACCCCTGCAAATACCTCTATTCACAGCCGAGAGGTATGGTTTAACGATTGCTAATGATCTCTGTCAACATCGGCGCTATATGTCGGTCTGGCCCAGATTCATCCAAACACGACACGGCTCCTCACTCGACGAAGGAGCCAAGAGAGCGGCCGAGCGGAATGGTGCACGCGGCATCTCGGTATTCGTGATCATCTTTATCAACAGAAAGATTCGTTTCTCGATAACTTGTTGGATTGCACCGCTCGTGCATAACCCGCTTCAAGCATCCCGACGATTCTTGGAGGTCGACTCACAACTGCCCTTCACGAATTGGACTACGATGAATCAGTCAAACGCATTCCGATACACGAACTTGTCGAACGTCGATTGGAAGTTCGAGTTCTGAAGAGATTGCACGCTTGCCTGAAGTTGCAATGGCCGAATAGTGGCATGGCTGTGTTAAGAACACCTACAGGTATGATACTCAGGTTCATGTCTCTCAAATCAAGTCCCAGCGCTGATGTCTCTGCAGCTCGTGACGTAAGGGAACGGGGCTGGCGTCTGCTCCCGTACTTGAGCACGGCGCGGAACAGTCTACTACTTCATTGTCTTAGAAGACAAAACGAGACGGTCGGCTTTGGAGGAAACCGCTTCGGATATCGCGAGGCGCACGCCGCGCTGTATGTGATGGAGGCGGGCGAACAGGTGCAACTGGCCGCCGCACCCCCGGCTCCCACTACACCGGACGCGGCCCCGGCTGACACGACTCTGGCTCCCACCACCCCGCAGCCCGATCTGTAGATCGTCGCTCCGGCGCCGCATCTGGTGGATTGACAAAATTGGCAAGTTTGATGGTTCCTGCCGCAGTGCAATCGTTGTGCCAGAGCAGCCTTCAGTTTTCGCCAAAGGCCAGCGGCCGCGCGAAGACGCAAGCAGCAAACCGGCGACGGTGGCCGATCCGGAGGGCCCGACTTTCATGATTGCGAGGTCGTCCGAGGGCTGAACATCGCCCGAGAGGCTCTAGTTGTCGGCGGCGACCGGTGGCTGGAACTCATGGGGCAGGCCCCGGAGAAGCCGCTGGGCTCGGGCTGCACCCTTGAAGCCCCGTCTGCCGAGCTTGACTCTCCTGCAGACTCCAACAATACGCAAGCTTGGTTCTTGTCGTCCCTTGGCCGCCGGCGGTTGCTCCCTACGACGTATCCACTCCTCGGTGTTGGCGTCACGGACTTGCAAGGCGTTGAGGGCGACGGTCTGCCCGAGCCGGGCGTCGTGGGCTAGCCACACTCGCCCAAACCCACCCGAACCCAACCAGCGTGCCAGTCGGGACCGGGCCAGTCCGGCTTGCAGCACCACGGTGCCCCGCGGGCCCGTCGGTGGTGATGCGGCGGCCGCGGGGGTTGGGTTTCGAGAAGGCCGCAGTCGCCAGCGCCCTGACCAATCACGACGGCGTTCTGTCACTCGGAAGCGGCGCCGTGCTCGATCCCGACACTCGTACCTCGGTCGAACACCATCGTGTCGTCTTTCTCCGTGTCCGGCTGTCTGAGGCCGTCAAGCGCAGCAGCCTCGGCACCTCGAGCCCGCTGCTCCTCGGTAACGTCCGGTCCCACATCAAGGCGCTGCTGGACGAACGCCTGCCCGTCTACGAGTCCGTCGCGACAGAGACCGTCAATGCCTACGGCCGCACCCCCAAGGACGTGGCGGCGGAGATCTCGACAGAGATTGCGGCGTGATTACCCGACCGGAGCGTGACTCGGAGGAATGAACCGGGGGAAACGAGCGACGACACGGGATATAGATCAGGACGCGGCCACTAGGTGAGAACCATTCGCACTCCGCACCGTTCTTCAAAGTCATGAATCATACAGGGTGTCCGTCGCTAACTGTTTACCCTACTTTCTAGTCCTTTCCTCGAGACGACGCTTACAGCGACGGAAAGCCGATAGCAAGGTGGAAGCGGAATCGAGAGAAGCTTGTATGCAGAAATGAAAGAGGTCCACAGCGGCACTGATGAAGCTGAGTGCCATGAAAAAGGTGTCTCCTCTTTTGCGCAATTATGGTGATCCAGCAACGTGCAGAGTTTCTTTAGATTGGGAAATTGGGAGACCTCATTACGCAACAATCCGTCATCTTCGCCATCATTCCTCCAGCCGCGAAACTAGTAGGGCGATACTCCCACTGACGGCGCCCTTGTTCACATTCCTGTCGCCTGGGAACACGAACGTTTTGTGAGAAAGCTGATGAGGCTTGCCGACTTCATCGCCGCCCGAAACGCCAACGGAAGAACTGAGCTTCAGCGTTTCCATCTCCTGCCAACTACATCCTCCATATGACCAATATTGCTTTCCAGAGATCCAGCATTGCAAACAGGTAAGTTTTTCTTTTTCAGAAACAGTGCCACTTAATGGAACGTTCACTCTTGTGTCTGACGGCAGAATAGATCGCTTCGAAGCAGACATACGCCCAACTCCATCACATTATATATCAGCAGCTGCTCTTCAAGTCTATTGCCAACAACAAGCAGCAGCTGTGCGACACCTTCCATGCCCAGTCGACGATTTCGACAATGAGACCATCTCTGAGGCCGACAACGTGATAAAGCACGACATCAGCAGACTAACCTTCGTGAGGGCCCGTACCCACTGGTGTTCGGTGGTCGTCCCGACCAAGAGCGAACTTGGGAGTCTGCGTACGATCTTCAGTTTGACGCCCCCGAGGCCATAACTGCTTCGAGGTCCCCACCAACTGGAGGTTCTCCTGCTCCCTCTTTGGCAACGTGATGACCTCGCTCCTGGCGGCGATCTTACCGTTGAAGTGGAGACGAGAAGAGTGAGTGGACTTGAATGTCCTGATGTTGGCGTTGGGCTTTTATAACCGCTTTCATAGGTGCGAGGTAGGCCGGATGTCGACGCCAAGCACGGGATGCAGAGCAGACAGCGCGCAAGTCGCTCCCGACTGGGTGCCGCGCGAACCAGTTCCTGTACTTTTTGAAGTCGATCATGACGCACCGGCGGCATACGTCTCCGGACTTCTCGACCTGATGAGATTGCAAAACCGAGAACCTGCCCGCTATGACACGATTCTCGATCACCCTCTCCACAGTGGCACAATTGGCCCGAGTGGCATTTCGTTTACAAGAACTGCAGCCCGATTCTTCCACAAACACGTTCTCGGTGTCAAGGGCACTTTGTATTGACATATTACGACTAGTCTTCTAGTTGCACTCGAGTTTTGACAGGGGCTTGAGCTCCACCGCGTCGGGAACCTCCGGCTCTCCGGTTCTCTACCCTCCTCTCTACGATGGAGAGATGGGTTGATGGGACCACGCTCCCGCTACTCTGACATGCGACTGCGAGGCAGTAGGTCTTGGTGTTGCTCGTCTGGCGCGAGTAGTCTCCCTGGAAGGATCATCATCCGACTCTCGTTCCGTCTTGATGGGACTACCGGGAAGGCGGGAAGGCGGCAAGTCGCCAAGGCAGCAATCTAGTTTTCGCAGTGAAGAGAGAAGGTGAGTGGCATGATGACATTGAAGGTGCTCCGCGTCATGAATGCAGTCGGCAACAAAGCCGTCAACGCCCTGAGCTGTGTTTACTGACATGAAACCACCGACAGGAGGCCAACTGCTGTTACAATCAGGCCCGAGGCCCAAGTTTCCCCATTTGTCACACCGTCTCACCGGCAAGGACTCGACGGACTCCACGTGTGAGCTGAAGACTCGAAGCGTGGAACGACATGATGGAAATATCGCCGGATACTGAAGCACTGACTTCGGCGTTGATGAGTAGCTCAATACCGAGGCTCAGTTTTGCGTTCTTCTTGACCAGAATGTCTACATGAGCGGTGTTAATGACAACCACGACCTCAAGTATATCATCTGAACGGTTCTTCAGCCTCGTACCGTGCGTCGAGCGAAGCATTTGGAAATGTGCTGGCTCAAATGTCGTCAAGACCAAGCGACCTGGCTTGCAAAGGCGGACTGAGAAACGGAGGTCTCGTAAATGTAGAGTATCACAGGGTGCTGTGACGCCAACAACGAAAGATGTTCAGAGGTTTCTGAGAGATAATAGAGGTTGAGCGAGCTCTCGATTACGGAAATTCAGCATCACCCTGGTCATTGATTCAAATTCTAATATTCAAAGTGAACTCTCATGAAGCGAATCGGCGCTTTCGCCCAGAATCATGGTTTCCGGCTGCTGTTCTCCCGTTCAAAGGTCACAAGACCCGGTTTATTGAAGACCATCCGCCCGTCTTACATCTTCTCAACCGAATTCCAGCCCAGACTTGACGGAATCGGTCGCTTGCGGCTACTGAGCGGAACATCCCTTCGAAGGTGATCCGAGATTCATCATGGGAAGTCCATCGAAAAAACACTCATCTAAAAGCCAACCGAGGCAAGTCGACGCAACTCCGGAAAACACGTAGAACGTAGCGGCTCTCGCCCGATTCCCATGATGATACAAATTGAATACGCTGGGCATCCAAGCATCAGCTTGAGACCGTCAGAGACGTGGATTGTGGCGGACCTGGTGCTCAAGCGGGATTCAGATTCTCCGCCAGCGACACTTGCAGCGCGTTGGGTTGGGATCGTACGTCCGACGGTGGGTAGAGCAATGCTTCTCCCACCGAGGTGGACCGCGGAGACCGGTGTTTGGATCATGATTATGGAAATGGTAAAAGAAGAGAGGTTCCGGTGACGGCCCACAAGCCACAACTGCCTGAAGAGAAATTGATTCTATGCTCTCCCTGCCGTTATTGCAAGACTTTCCCGTCCACTAATTTCAACAGTACTTCTTTAATAATATCTCGTGAACATGGGCAAGTTCGCACGTAAATCGCGTGATGATCCAAGTCCCAGCTTCATTTGAAGGCTCAACCTCCATTCGTATGCCCACTTGCTCAGGTTTATCGCATCTTTCAGCCGGAAGAAAGTCGAATATCCTGACGCGGTGAGGTGATTCCGGGCGAGATGGCTGGTCTCACCACCCTGAGGCACAATCGCCAGTCCGCTCGGCCGCAGTCGCCAATCTTCGAATCGCCGTGATCATGGAGTGATCGCCCTTCCAGTGTTATTCCGAAGGCCGGATTGTGATGCCTACCGCTGCTGCGCCGGCCCTTGACCTCAGTTAGCAACAGAATCTGAAATGGCTTTCGCTGGAACGTACTTCGCAGAGCATCTTGGAGCAGTTGAGTTGCCCGGCAGTGTTTTGCACTTCCCCCCGAAGGGCCTCTTAGCAATCACTGACAACCATCACATACTCATGACGCATTTGCCTTTCTGACACGACAAGGTTCATGTGAGATAAGTGTGCAAGGCCGTCCAGAGCGCCGATCTGAATGAGCTAGGCCCGCCGTGTCCCTGCAAGCCGTTTGTTACGTTCATCGGTATGGCCATGCTTATTCTGTCTGATCTTCTGATCTCGAGCGCACAGCGCCGTAACCTCTTGTCGACGGACAATCTGTTCAACACAACGGTTCTGGCATCTGCGCTCCCCAGGGAGATGGGATGGGGCCGGTGAACGAGTAGCAGAGAGACGCCAGCATGCTTGACTACAACGGCGCACATAGTTCTTGACAGCTACGCGTTCGATGAGTTGAAGCATTGACGGTTGTAGGTACCAAGTCTGTCTCTGCGATGAAGCTGCCAAAGGCAATCGGGATCGGTATTTAGTCGTCAGCATGTGTTTCTCTGGCCGTTGCCATCTGACATGCAAGACTTGGTTAACTGGGACTTGGCGGATTCGAAGAGCTGGGAACTTACCAACCTGATCGCAATTTCGAAGATTCACGTACCGCCAGAAGTCCACTGTAGCAGCGTTCCAACCTCCAAGTGGGCAACGTCACTTTCAAAGTACAGGCAGTCGTATTGGAAGAGAGATTGACTTGGCTTGCGGTAGGAGAGCAAGCTCCGGTGGCCTTCATCGCAAGGTCGCGAGAGGATATCCTCGACAAGCAGCACGAAGCTGGCTATTGCCACAGTGTATGGGACTCTCGGGCGGGATCTCCGAGGGTGGTCCTGTCAACCAACCCGGTCCGGCCATTCGTGAGTCGCTGCAATTTTGCGTTAATGTCAAGGTCATCAACGATAGGACGGTAATCCGCACTCTTGACCCATCTCGTGTCGACTCCGAAGCCACAAAGGCCTTGTCGTCCGACTCTTGCCGCCTGTTGCCCAGAGAGCTTCCCATGGCTTCAGGATGCATTGATGTGATGTTGGCGGCGCTGGCTTTGTTCAAATCCGTATATAGAACTCGGGCAACGTCGATGTGGGTGTGTACATTGAAGGTTGTGTCTTCGGTGTGTGAACGTTCGAGAAGCCCAGGGAGTTGATGCTCGAACATCATTCGACTGCTAGAGACGGTTTTGCTGGCACTGGTAGAAAAGCTTCGTCGTGCAAGCCTGACATGTCTCGCCAGTAAGCGAGTGTAAGTTCTGTGATCTGTGACTGTGCACGATGATGAAACGCCTGGTAATTGGCAGGATACTGTAGATAATCAAGGTTCCAGTAGCGGGGGCGGAATGGAATCGAGAGTTGCATGTAATTAAGTGGTGATTGCAGTGAGACGGCGAACATGACGGCATTCATACCCTGCTGACTTCGTCTCGTTTGAATAAATCATGAAGACTAATCGAGACCCTCCAAAACGAAAAAGGCAGCCAAAGTTGACGAGTGAGCCTCCATATTCTCGTAGTGGAGTGGTATAAATGGAATGACTTGAGAGGGGATGAAGATGGCGAGCTCCAAGGCACCTCTTGTCCGGGCTTTTGCTTCAATCAAGCTCTCTCGTGCAAATCCATCAATCCCTGTACATCTTCCCCAGGTTCCTTTTCTCTTTTCTTGATATCCTGGACGCCCGTGGTGGTCTGGACAAGTCTGAAGTGAGACATGCAGTCGTCGTTCTTGATCTCCTCGAGGGCTTTGTCGATGTTGACGGCATCGTCGAAGCGGTTGTGGTAGAAACACGGAGACTGTGAGGAAGGAAGAGCGGTGGTGGGAGTTGTGTTGCGGCCTTGAAAACTGGACTTGCCGTCCTTAGAGCGGGCCACTTGAAGCTTTTCTGTTCCACTTCTTGACCTTGCCAGTGCTGGACAGCTGGAAGTTGATCTAAAGGGCGTGGTCGCCCCGGATACCGGTGGTGAAGGCTCCGGTTCTGCGTCGACTGGTAGCTTGCTCAGGACTGGTGTTGGAGGTGTCATGTTCGTTGGTGTCAGAGCCTGTGAGGCTGACGAGGCTTTGACCGCTGCCCTGTTCAAGATTTTGATCAAGGATGTAGTCGTACCGGGTGTCAGTGTCCGTGGGCTACAACCTGCTTCGAGAGATATGCTGCCAAACGCCGCTTTTGAGACCGTGGTCATCGTAGGCTCCTCCCGCCGCATCGTTGGCTTCGAGGGCTAATTTCCAGTGGTCTCCATTTCCACGTTGCCGCGCGGAGGGGGCGTGGTGCTGGTGACGTGGAGGGGCAACTGTTGATTGTTAGTATATGAGCCGGATAGAGGTGTGTCACAAACCCCCTAGATTGGAACTTGAGGGAATGAAACAAGGGCAGCTCACATTTATTGGCGACAAATCGCACCACTGTCAGGCCCGTGGTGCTGGATCGGCGTCTTCGTTATTTCAGCAACGCGTCCAAGAGATATTGTCGAGTCAATCCGCCGTGTGCCTTTCGTGCACTCCGGATATGCTGTACGGCCAGTTGGCTGAAACAAGTGTTGAGACTACAACACCCCAGGAGCATAGCAAGTATGATGATGACCTTCCGCGTGATGGGTGGAGGCGCCACACAATCTTTGTGTCTGGTTCATAGCATTCGAGTGTCTCTGTGGGCATCGCTTTGAACTAGTTCTCGACAACGGCCGTCCGGAGCGTGTCCTGCGCAAAGACCTCGAATTCGAGAGGTAGACCGTCATGACTACCATCCAACCATGTGTGGCGCAGGTCGGACCACGAAGCGTGCAGACTGCATCCGTCCGGCTGAGGAATATCGATAAGGTCGTCGACAGATTGTTGCAACGCCATGCTTCAAGACGACGTGAGAGTGGATGGAAACGACAAAAACAAAAGATGGAGCATATCCCTCGATTGCAAGCGAGATCGGTATAAACAAAATATCGAAAGGGCTTCTCGTGATATGAAGTGAAAGTAATGAAGGAGTTCGGAGCAGATGAGGGGATGTCGCATTGTTTCGGTCGTTGGGAGCCATTTCGAAAGCAGTGCCGACGTGTACTCGCGAGTGTGAAACAAGTTGAGGCATAGAAGCGACGAAGGCGGTTCAGCCCCCGTGTTTGGTGCGGATCAATCTGCCAACGTCTCGCTGCCATGTGTGAACATGATCGATGAGTGGCAAAGGCAGGAAGATTTCCGACTTGGCCATGTTCTCGGATGCTAGCCTGTGATCATTGTTGTCAAGGCTCCAGTCGACGGCGAACGAGAAGAGGTGACATGGGGTGATACCGACGGAAACGAAGCATAGAGACAAAGAAGAACATGAGTCGTTCAATCCAAAGCGATGGGTAGCGCGAATACCAAACACTTGCGACTGCCGCTACCGCAGGAATGTCGAAGACGATAGAACAAAAGACAAAAGTTCGATCGCGAACGATGGGAGATGAATCATGCGTCTGTTCGGTTTGGGTACTCGGAGGCGATGCGAGGTTGGTCTTCCGGGTTGGTAGGTAGGCAGGCAGAGATGTAACTCAGCGGTTGTCGTGGAGGCGGGATCCCAAGGTGACGTACCTCGGTTGGGGTCGGGTTCCTCCAGCCGATCTCTTCCAGGCCTTACCTGGACCCGGCCTTACTTGGGCAGGCAGGTGGCTGGGCAGACACTTGCCGCTTACTAATTGTGGCTGGCGGGCAGTGACAGCCCAGTCAGGTGCCCGGGCCTAGGTCCCGTCCCTCGCTGGACTGCTTTCTGGTTTGATTTTTGATTTTTTTTTCGCCGTAGACTCTTACCTCACCTGACCGTCCTCCAAAGTAGAGGTCTGAGGTACTGAGGTGACCGAACACGTGCCGAATGGCGGGACGCGATCTAGTCGCCGCCCGGTACCTACCTTACGTGGCCTTCCAGGTTGCTCATAGAGGTGCCTACCTTAGGTTAGCTAACTGGGACTGGAAAGTCCATCGGGTGGCGCCGGTTGGCAAGCCAGTCGCAGGCCATTCACGGCGGGGTCAAGGTACATCGTGGCGCTCAGGCACCAACAGCCCGTCCCCCATGTCAACGAGTTTTCAACATCCACCTAAAACGAGATGCCCAGAGTCCTGTTGTTTGGATTTTTTTTTCTTCTTTTTCGCAGACTTTTCTCACAGGTTTGGCGTTCGGTCCACCTTCGTCGGTTCTCCTATTGAATATCATGTTCTCCAGTCTCTCGCGGTTGGGGCTGTTCTCTCCTCTTCCCCGCTCCACGCTGGCCTTTTCTTGTCGGTTCCCCGATTGAGCTTCCGTAAGCAGCATCCCAGCTTATTTCTACTTGTTCTTTACGAGGTTACGCGAAGTTCGCTGATGAACCGTCGTCGTGAACTCGTCCTCCTGGCAGAATGTCTGGCGCAGACCTTGTCCGACCTGGAATCCAACGCGTTGACGTCCGATCCCCCAATGTGCCCTCTCCAGCCACATGATGTGTGGAAAAAAGTTCGATCGGACGGCGAGATATTTAAAGATCTGGAATCTGGAAAACGTCTTGGAACTTCGTGGCTTTCCGGGAACACGGCGGTTGGACGCACTAAAGGACACAAGGTAGTCCAGGTTCTCAGACACGGAGGTATTTGGGGTGAACTAGCAGGCTTCGCTGAACATCTGCTTCACGCAGTACACAGAACCGCCTGACGGTCTGGGTGCGGAAGCGAAGTGGTTTTTTATCCTCTGAGGGACTATGTGTCTGCTTGTCTTGCTGGAATTGTCTTGCAGTTTCTCCGGCTCCGAAGCAGAAGTGGTCACCCACTAAGTACAAGTAAAGGACCATGTCGGATTGCGACGTGGACAACGCTTCTAAATTATCAAGCCGTGAACCCGAACAAAATCTACCCTCATGGGACGCACCCTCCTCGTCTGGCCTACCCGCAGGGTCTGCGAACCGACCCTACCGTTCCACCCGACATGAGATTTCTTACATGCCTGACGTGTATGAACGGAATGCTGGCTAGATACTTGTGACGTATGGTATCTTGGGACTTTGGTTCGACCCAGCCATGGCCTTCGTGAGCGGTTCCGAAGAATCACTGCGGCCGGCTGGGAGATGAAGATGTACCGGCTGGAAACCATCTATTTGGGAAACGAGTCGATCCCTCCAGTCACATAAGGTCCGGGAGGGTGGCAAAGCATGAACGATGTGGGGAAAGGCGAACTTTTGGAATGTGGTATGGAAAGAAACAAAGCCTATTTCAACAACAGCAACCTACCGGCCAGGCACCGCCACGCGACTGCAGGCAAATGCTGGCATTATCCCTTATCATGGCTGCGAGCTCTATGGATCCAATCGTCACAGTCGGTAGGAACGGCACGTGAACTGGGTGTACCGGGGAGAATGCCACCTGTGCCACATCTGTTCGGACGAACTCAAAACGCTGATGGTGGCGGAAGAGTATACATATCAGACTGAGCCGAGGCAAACATAAAGTTTGTGACATCAAAGTGGCACATCAATCTGACCTCCGCATCGGCATGAAAACACCTGTTCGGACCAACTCAAAACGCCGCGTGGCGTCCGTGAGCCGAGGCAAACATAAAGTTTCACTGTAACATCATAGTGGCACATCAATGCGACCTCCGCATTTAAACAAAAACAGGTTCAAGGAGACCGCGGAGTGGTACTCACTTAAGGCGTCATATTCCTGAAGCTACAAGGCAAGTGAGAACAACACGACCAGTTCATGTCGTGAGTGGTGTTTCATTATCCATCAAATACTCTTACATCAACACTTGGAGCAACGTCAGATGTCAGGGAGATGTGCTCAAGCGGGCCAGAGGAGAGCTGGCCCTTCGAATAACCACTCAACCATGTGTGCGAGGCTTTTCGCGGTATTTGATCCCATTCCCTTACTCTTTCAGGCATTGACAGCAGGGTCTTGGCTCCAGCATCTAAAGCGCCGGTGCTGCCGTAATCAATGTTGGGAAGTCTCCGCTGGGCGATCCCGATGAAGATGTATGTTGTGGATACCAAACGTTGTTTGGGTGTGGTTGTGTCTTGACAAGCGCTCAGTTGGGCTTCTGGATGAGGGAGACGAAGAGAAAGCAAGGACGTCGATAACGGTGAGCAGGGTACTTGAGAGGACTGAATCCAGCGTGCCATCTGGTGCTGTCCAGGAGGATCAAGGTCATAGAAAACGGGACACATTCTGTGGGGAAGAAAGACGGGAACTCCCGTGAAAGCGCTGCCTACCACTGCGACGTCTTCTAAGATTTCGATGAATGCGACAACATCTGCAGGGTCTCGTCAGGTACCTGATTGACTCTGAGTGCTACATACAAAAGAAAGCTCCAGCGTGATAACGAAGCATGACATCGCCTTCGTGCCCTTTCATGGCATATAATACTCGCCGGCCAGCCTGGAACTACAAATGGCCGCGATATCGCGTATGTTCCTTTCCGGGTAGACGTTGCCTGTAAGAGGGATGTGATCACCGCGTTTTGAGACGAATTGGGGGCCTTTTTTTCATGTCTGCGGCCGTGTGAGAGGAGAAATCCGTTCATTTGCGGGAGGTTGACCGGTATGAGGCGTCAACACCTCGTCAAGCGAGGGTGCATATGCACAGCCAAGCTGTTAGTGGAATCGGGTGCTTTGGAATTGGGCTGACTTGCGCGAGTAAAGAGGAACAACTTCCTCGAGGCCGGTGTCAATCTCGTCTCGGTTGAACGGGGGTGGCGACTGCGAACCAGGGCGTGGCAGTGGATCGAGCAAACTTGTGAACGGAACGGTGTGCTCGTCGACAGAGACCAGCCGAGCGTTGATACAGAAGTCCGGGTTTCGCGGTAGCTACAAGAAAGGAGCGAACGTTCCCAACAATCGAACTCTTGAAGTGAAGGAGATGTCTAGGCATAAGAGCTTGCTAGTCTGAAGTGACAGTCTCCACCCAGCACCGCAGGCCTTATGGAATCCTGAGGCGGACTGGGCTCCGAACAACTTGAATCGTCACCCATTACCACCAATCTGCGGACTGTTATTTTGTCCAGGTGTCAGAGTTTCGTTGCGTAATTGTTCACATGCGCGGCGCATGTGCACTGTACACCTCAAAGCCGAGTTTCCGTAACGGTGGAAGTATCGAGTCGGTCGCAAGGAGAACGGATTGCAAAGCCCATAGACGGACGTCAGCGGTACATCTAGCTTCAGTCAGCAGCGTGGAGAGCTTTGGGGAACCGGGGAGTGTCATACCTTGACATGACGTGCGGGCCACACGTGGGCAGAAGCGGAGATCGTCCCGGCGCGGTAAACCAGGAGCCGCCAGCCTGCGCCCGGCAGTCCCTACTTCCCCCCGCATTTGGAACAGAATCAACCGGCCTGCGTCAACCACAAGAGATAGGGTTGATAATGCTTCCAAGCAAAACACTTCAAGGTTGCCCTTGTTGAACTGGCGACGTTTTTGATTGTATGGGGACGTTTGGAGGTGGCGGGAAGAGCTGCTAGTTTGGGACACGCATCTGACGATATCGAAAGAGGAGGCCATACTTCTTTGGTCCTGGCACGCGTGGAAGTATCGGGACAGTTGTACATGCTTGCATCGAGAAGCATGTGACGTGAAGTATGGTCTGAGATGCCAATAGGGAGATCGGTATCATAGTTCGAGGACCGTTGACAGTTTCGATCGGGAGAGCAGCTCTTCACGGCGTGGCTGATAGTGTTTTCGATGGAAGGAGGTCATAAAGCCTTGATGCGTATTTTTGTTTCTTATGGTAGGAAAATCGCGGCGAGGAATCGCATCTTCTCGGCGCTGTCTTGGGAAAAACGTAGGGTCGCGGCAAAACGCTACCGTAGTCAGCCTTGGACAGCGAAGATGGGCCGCACATTGCTTACTAGTTCACAGAAAATAGGGAGCGATAGTGACCATTCCTCGCGAAAAGCGCCAACGATGTGGCTGCAAATTGGCCATGCCAGGCAGTGTTCTTTGCAGCGGCGCCCAAGGAATCAGACAAAGTGAAACACAATGGCACTGCTGCGGCGCCGTTTGAGCGGAGTGCTGGGTTGAACGGTGTCGCAAGAGAGAGACCCTTCTTGTATAGCAACGGTTGAGCACCGCACCAGGTTTGCGGACAGGAATTTATTTGCAACGAAAAGATGACTCGGGTGGATGGTGGTGGTGGAAGATGCAAACGGAGGGGTTCGGTTCAGTTACGACTGACGGGCTTGGGCACCGACGGGAAGGCAAGTGACGTTTAGAAGGTAACGTACCCACTGAGTCCCTTCCGAGAAACGGGATTTTCAGCGGTATGAAACGGTACCGGCCACAGTATAGGTAATCGTGGGGTGGAAAGACCGTTTGTGCCCGTTCGTCCCAGCTCGGGAAGCGCAACGTGAGGACTTGCCTATTCCAGGTTTCCCACTTGAGGCAGGGAGTCGGCCACGGTGAGTTCCTACTTGACTCTTAAACTGTCGTCTGCTGAACGTAACCCTCGGCCCCATGGCCGAGGGGGGCTACTCACGCTAGTAGACGCATCCGAGAACTGAAGTGCTTATCACTTCTGTGTGCGATGTGTTCGAGCGCCTCTGTTTTGCCATCCCATTTCTTTTTCTTTTTCTTTTTTAGTTTATGTGATATTTAAAACAGATTTCATGTCTCATGGGGTGGTTGTGACTTTTTTTAATTGGGGAATAGACTCCGATCTTGCAGTACCAGAATATTTTACTTGAGACGCGGTGCCACACCAACTCTGTGCTCTGTGACCCAGAAAACCCGGGATAATGTTTGCAATCCTTAACATGAATGTTTTTCCTTCCATCAAGATCGAAGTATGGTCGCCTTGCCTGGGTCATGGCTGGATGCGAGCTTTAAGAGTCTTAGATTGCAGATCTACCCTGGAATCAGCCTCCTGGGGAGACGAAAGGCCACCGATGACCGCGATGGATATTCACCTGCGTCCAACTGCTCATCTGATGCAGCAACTGTGGTGAAGAGTCTCTTAATAAACACAACGCATGAGTGGAATACGTTTAGTACTAGCACCGCGATGGTGCATACAGAGAGAAAGCTTTTGGCGTCCAGACACTAGTTTAGTCTTGCACACAAGAGCCTCGATCAAAGCGCATGTTTTCCGGGCGCAGAGTCTCCCAGGGCCTGAATTCATAGACTGGGAAATTATTCTCGTCTCAAATGAGCTTTCTATCTGTTCCACGAGAGACGTTATCGGGCACTCGGACGACAAGGTCCAGTTTCCAACGCTCGACAGGATGGTTCCAGCCAGTGGAAACAGGGCCCCTGACTCTGCGTCTTACAAATGAGACCTGTTGGAAACCTTGTCTATGAGCAGTAGTTGTGGCGTGTGAGTACACCGGACCCCGAAGAGGTGATCCTCGATAGCATCACTGTTGCCTACTTCATCGATCAACTTATGCGCAAGGCCGCTGATACGCCCACCGTCCTTCACTGCGTCACACTCGAGAACAACGACGCCGATGTGGTCTACGTGTCGACGAAAGAACGAAACGCTCTTGAACTTGCCATGAAGCTACGGAAGGAGGGCAAGATTACAGAACCTGGCCCATCTTTCGAAGCATCAACAACCGGAGAGATCGATGCCCTACTCGAACGCAAAGTCTTTGTATTCATCCCCCAAGACCTAACGATCCACGCTGCTTCCCATCACGCATTGTCAACGAAGTCAAGGGGACAGCAGACAAGCCCATGGAGAAGTCTTTCATTGTCGTATAGGGTTTCAACGACGCCGAAAAGGAGAATGTAGTCACACAAACCCTGACTATTCAACTTTGTAGCCAGCGACTCATTATATCCCTTGCCCCTATTTTCATTCGAATGGGATACGTCTTATGGATATGAGGCATCAGTGAGGCCCACACCCAATTCCAAACAGACCTGAACCGAGTTATCCTCGCCCGTACGCAACAAGCACTCACCAGACGCTATCGTGCGAGTTTTCAAGCCTCTCTACGGCATCGCGGAGGCTGGCACGCACTGGGGGCTATGTACAACAGAGAGAAGCTCCCGATGAGATCATCAACTTTCCATGCTTGTTGACGTCGAAAGACAACAACTCATACGTTGAGATCGTCGTTTCGGCATGCAAACTGACCACACTCTCAGCTTATCAGACAAGGGCTTCTCGCAGCTTGAGGAAGACGAACTTGATAAGGCCACTTTTATGGCGAAACCAAAGACAGTCCTCACGACGAACTGCCCGTTGTTATTCAACGGAGGAGTCTAATGGAGGAGTTGTAGCCCTTACCGCCGATGGCAACCTCCACCTCCGACAAAAGGGCCAAGGCAAGAAGATCGTCCTCGTCGACCCCTCGACGATGAGAAGACAACAATCCAGCAATACGACAACGAGCCCGTGGAGCGTATATTGCCTTCATCTGCCAATCTGAGGCTTGTTTCGACCTCTCTACCGCCGCCCAACACCAAGATCCTGGCCTTGGCTATGATGAGATCAAAGCCCTCAACAGGAGACCATAGTGGCAAATAGACAACCAAGAACGGGGCCTTACGAATATGCCACTCGACTTAGCCGCAGCTAAGTTATCCGTCTTCATCGATGGCCCCTTCGCGAACAATATTGACCTCTCTTCGCGAATTGGCTTCATCATCATGCGCTTGGACCGTCGCCGTTGCTCTAAAGAAGCTCAAGCAGCTTACATGGCCCCATGCTCGCGATGCTTATGAAGTAATGCTAGCACTAACTCCGTGCTCGATCTCAATGAAAAGCTTCATCATCATACTTGCCAACGAAACAACAACCGACGACACCTTCACTCTCACCCTCACCGGAAACGTCGTCCAGGTCAGTTCGACGAAGTGTAAATGAGTCACAAGAAGCGTTCTGGCCTCCGAAGTCGACGGTATGGCTGCCGGCACCGATATGGCTGGCCTACGCCATCTCCACCACAACCTCGCAGATCTCGCCACTCACCAACAAACCTCCTATCCCCACGGAAATCGTCTGTACGGACTCATACTCGCTGTACGAGTGCATCGTCAAGCTCGGGACGACGATGGAGAAGAGGATTGTGATCGATAAAATGGCTCTTCGAGAATCTTACGAGAAACGAGAGTTTCACGAGAGATGAGACTCATATGAGAGATGAGATTCATATGAGAGATGAGAGTCATATGAGAGACGAGAGTCTTATAAGGGACGAGAGTTATACGATAGACGAGAGTTGTACGAGATCCGTTGGATCAACGGAGACGACAACCTCGCCGACGCACTCACGAAGTCGAGCCCAAGTAGGTGTCTGGGGAGATTCATCGATTCGAACGAGGCTAAAGGGCGGTGTGAACCATTCACAGGGCGAGTAAGCCGGGGAAAACAATTGATACGAACATGGAAATCAAGTTGTATCCAAAGAAGAAATCATCTTGGTACCGGGCGACATTGGAATGAGGTTGATGGGGTTAGTAAGGCAAAAATTGCCCGAGGTAGATGACCTCACTTTTCCCGGTTGGAGATTGCTGCCTCCTGCCTCCTTCTGCTTCCTTTCTGTGGTAGGCAAGAGCTGAAGTCACACCCCAACGGACCGACCTCATGCCTGCTCAACTCTCCCAAAGGCACGATGGCACCATTGACTGTGCGCCTTGGATGTATTCGCCCCCGAATTCTCATCTTCTCATCGGCACACCGACAGGCCATTTGCCGGGTTGTCAACTAGAAGCTTTCGGCTGCACGGAGTCCTGGCCGCATTCCTTCGGGATGAGTTTGGACCCTCTTCCCAGATGAAATTCACTTACACCCTCTTCTGAAATTCACTTATACCCTCTTCGTAAATGAAATTCACTTATGCCCTCTTTTAAAATTCACTTAGGCCCTCCTCTCACCATGCTTCCAAACACCGACGGCTTCCCACGCGGTCCTTTCCGACCGAGAGGAGTGAGCATCGAAGTTGGCCGGAAGTCGCGAATCTTCATGGGTCAGCTCTACAATTGTGTCCATTGCTTCGGCGTTTCTTCCGACGCAAGCATACGATCTCCGGCCAGGCCTCATCTTGGCCGCGCCAAAAGATGACGAGAGTGAAGTACGACTCCTTTCGGGCGGACGGAAGTTGATTGAAGATGCAGTTGCAAACGTCAGAGACTAGGCATATGCAAGAATGAACGCGCCTGCATGTGCCACCCACACTTCGCTGGCTCCGAGACCAGCGACTGGGCCGACCATGATTCCCGTTGTTCGAAGGTGTGCTCTTCTCAACAGGGAAGAATGCCATGCCCTGATCACAACGAACGTTCTCTCAATATCTTCACCCAAACAGATGCCCTGGTCGAGCCTCATCCATCTCCTTCGCCGACGTTCTCCATCTTCGGCCGTCATTTTCGAGCTTCGTCGTCGTCAGTCTTCATAGCCGGCATCCAAGCACACAATCCGAGGAAGACAATCACGCCCAACCTGTTCTCTCATCATGGGCCAGCCGCAGCCGCAGCCTCAACCAGGAACTTCTGTGCCACTGTCACAGTCTCTTGAACCGTCTCAATGGTTTTCTCCGTCAGCGTCGTCGCTTTCCTGCGTCATAACAGCAGCCGACCACATCCCCGATGGACCAGACTCTGGGTTCGCCAACACCCTCAAGCGGGAATCCCGGCGCCCCTGTCATGGTCTGATCTCGTTCTTCCAGCTCAAGCAGCGCAAGAGCAATGGGACGGCAAGTGGCCGACGAGGGCGGTCATGATGACGGTGATTGCGCAGGTCTGAACGACGAGAACTACCCATTTCATGGTCGGAAGCTCTTCTCCAAGTCTCAAGTCCAACGTCGTTCGGCGTGTGACACAAGGCCTCTTCCAGCGCTGTCTTCAGTAAGCCGTTGGATGTGGACTGCTTCCTTCGCCCAACACCTCAAAGCTCTTCCGCCTCATCAAACGAGGAGATTCGTCATATTCTTCGGTCTCCGACGACCGCTCGAAGTATTGACCTTGAAACCAAACGGACCACTGCCGCACGTTCTGCGCGGAAGACGCTTAGGCTCGACGATGAGACACCGCCGAAGTCATTCAGTCCTGCTCATTTCTTTCCATTGCTGTTTATTCGCAAGGAGAGAAGCATCTCAGGATTGGTTCGCATGTTGGGGACGGATGTATCACCATGTCGGGAGGATGCTCGCTATCCGGAATCCAGGGTAAACGCTGGACTTTCTCAGCCACATCACCGGGAGCCGCGGCCGGCCTCTACCAGACGAGTTTGGTAAGGCCTTCGGACATATGATTCGATCCAATGCAGAAGGTTGTGCTCACCAGGTCCGCTTCAACAGGACAAGCAAGACGCTCACAGATTCTCGGCAGACGACGAGCGATGCCTGGTGGAGCAGCCCTGCGCAATGCGTTGAGGATCTTGGAAACTACTGCCGTCTTATGGACAGCTTCAGATGGAAGGCTACCGGTAGTTTGGTTCCAAGGACATTCTCTTACGCTTGTCATAGACCTACAATCAATCGGCTTTTCTCGACAACATCAAGAGGCCCTTTCCCGACTTGAGCGGGAGACTCGGAAGCATGGGTGTGCTGTGCATGTTTTATCTTCGTTCGTGCAGGACCTGTAGTAGTCTGAGTGGGAAGGTCATGAAGAGCCCCGTGTCCAAGCGATGTCCTGGATGAGGATTCGCGGTGATGACGACCAGACGCCTCCAGATGCATCAGGAGTTCATCGGTAAGAAGGCTTTCTCTTTCTTAACCAACTGGCTGTCTCTTAGACATCAACCTCTCGCGCTTTTCGAATACATCTTCCCGTCGGAGCGGGTTCGTCTACCCAGGGCAGGTCATTTTGATGAGCGGGTCAGTTCAAGGCGATGTCGTCGTTCTCCTATAACCCTGCCAAGGCAAGCGCATCGGACCAACCTGTTTGGAAACCATGAAACTACAGCATCACTCGCGTCGGAGTGGCGGTGCTCTTCTGTTGGTGGATGTACCGGCCGATGTGTGCCGTGCGAACGCAACAATCGTAGACACCGGTCTCTCAATCGATACCTACCTACCGAGTTCTTACATGGACGTGAAGAGCAGCGCTCAATACCAGGTTTTTGGAGGAAGTCAACGATGCTGCGAATGGAACTGTGAATTGCCGGCGATGAATCATTCCTCAGATGCAACCCCTCAGAGGTGTGAGCACGTAACGCGCTCCAGCTGGGGTCCCAGGCAATGTCAATATCGCGGGAATCCAGCCATCGCCACGCAGCTATTCATTATCGTCGTTCGCCATTCGTCCATCGCCCTCATTCAAGAACAAGGTATCACGCGGCAATGAACTGCTCTGCACTGGGACGCGGAGGCGATGGAGTTGCAAACTCGTGGTGGCGTGTTGGTGCAGTTCAGGTCGCTCAAGTGTCGCCAAGTGGCTGTACTGTGTTCCTGGAGGGAGGCACGTCGGATCGGGGAGTACAGGGTGAGGTAGGTACACCAGCAGTGCCGACATTACAGTGTGCGTGAAGGAGCGAAACTGGCTACAGGCGGGGGCGACGTATCCCTTACGTAAGGTAAGGACGGAATTCAGATCGGGATTCGGGTTTGTTGGAGTCGGCATGCTTTTTATGCACAATGCATAAGTTGGTGTGCAGGCAGCAGCCAATCAACAGACTTTGCACATCGGGTGCCTAACCGTGCAAGGCCTAGTGCTTGTGCACTTAGCCCCTCTGAAATGAAATTCACCTGGACCCTCTTCTCAAATGAAATTCACTTACGCCCTCCTCTGAAATTCACTTGCACCCTCCTCCTAAAATAATCTCGTGCAACGTGCAAGTCCACGGATTGCCTATCCTCTCAACATCTCCAATTCCAACACCGTCTTTCACTTCATCCACAACATGCATGCCATTTGAATTTGTGTATTCTCTAAAGAAAAAGTCTCGGCCGCTGTAACCAAACGAGCGATTGTTGCTTGGACATCAGCAAAAGTTTGAGTCCAATCCTCATGTGTTCTGGGGCCGACAGGTGAGGTGCAGGTACTGGCGGTGGGCTGGTTGTCGCTGCAGGGGGACCTGGATGGATCTGTTAAGCAACAGTACCTGAGGGCCAGCGACGCGGTACCTACCTGGTCAATTGATTGAGGTGTAAGCACCTAGGTACCTAGGTAGGTAGGAAAACCGGGTCAAGTGCCCCCATACATGGGTGAAACCTCCGATACATGGGGTCAGTGCACATAAGCCGTATTTGGGCGTCAATCCATAAGCGAATGTATCGAGTCAGTGCATACACTGGTTGGGCATTGGGCCTGACACATTCCTGCGAAACCACAGAGTTGGGATTGAGAGGCTCCCTATAAAAACCACCGTCAAACACCACTTCACACCGCCGTCGCCACGCGATTTCCCACCACAACATCGATAAAAAATTATTTTGAAATTTCCAATGTTTCCAACATGTCAAGATACGCCGCGCCAGAGGATGTCGAACGCGGAAAAAGCCTACGCAAAGCCGAGCGTAACCGATGCATCCCCCAGTCGACTATTTGACCCGTCTGATCGGCGTTAGGACGCGTCAGACGCGGTCGGCCTCGTTCCCACCACCGATTCAGAGACCGTACTCCCGACGCAGGCAGACACAAGACCTCTCCAGAACTGGATGGACTCTGGCTCAGAGGCGAGGCCATCGAGGCTCTGTGATTCAAGACGGCGGCAACTACAATTCTACGATCACCCCGCGACCGAAGGCATCCCCGCATGCCATCGATACAATATGGACGATACGGACCCGCGGAGGGCAAGTGTATGCATGGACTCGAGCACGATTCCTGCTCGACGAAGGGGACTTTGCAGCCAGACTACAAGCTGGACGCGACAAGCCGCGCGCCGTTGCCAGCGTTGAAGACAGCTCCGAGCAGCTGTTACTTCGTGCATCACGCCGCCACGCATCACCGCCGCCAGCTCAGACGGCCGCCTCAAACCCACCGACCGGTCCATGCGATCCCCATGCCATCATGCGACACGAAGCCCTGGCGAGGCTATTTCTCAAGCGAGTACGATTTCCTGATTTGAGTCGCCTCGCCAGGCTGTTCGCGCCGGGCTGCGACCGCGACTTCCCGTTCCCTGTTCCCTTCGAAGACGAAATGACTTCGGATCTCGCACCAAGAACAACCTGGCATCCGACATCGTCAGCGCTTCTCTCAACGGCTGCCAGCCGCCAGAACCATGCCACCAAGGCAAGTCTAAGTTCACGACAAGAGTTGTCGTTGGGCGGCAGCGCGCCATCATAATGCGCCTGTGCTGACACTCTTCTCCCCAGTCTCCTCAGTCCGGCCTATGAATGCCACGAGATTACTGCCTGCAACAGCCATTGCCAGCATGAGCGACAAAGACGCACAAGCAAGGTCGCGGAGGACCTCTCACGCCGCTTCGCCTCCAGGGCGCCGCCAGCGCAGGACGACACGGCGACGTGATACAAGGGCGGGGAGCGCAGCTACACCGATTATCCATCCCTCGCCTGATCCGGCTGGCCGGCTCGTTGCAACGGTCCCGACGGATAGCCCACCGTCGCGTTCACGTTACGGCTCGGCGCGAACGACGGGCTGGTACTCCCAAGGGCCGCCGGCGCAGGCGAAGCGGCGGCCCTCCTGTCCGACTCTCCGACCCAACCCATCTAGATTCAGGCGCGCTCTCGCCCATGCCGTGCGAGCACACCGGATACGAGGCAGGGCGCCGCGGAACCGGAGTCAGACATACAGCGCATCACGATCGGCCGAATGATCGCAGCCTTGCTGGCGGTGGATGTGGCATCGTGGCCCGCGACGGCCGGCGCCGAGCCGACGGCACGCATCCTCGTCGGCCTGGACGCGAAGGCATTCTTCAAGCCCATCGGGTTCCACGACGCCAAGTGGGGAGGCGATACCTGCAGATCTCCGAAACGGATGCGTACGAGAAGGCTTCGCGTGGCTGGGTATCTGGTTGAGAGGGTTGGTGGTGTGTCGTTGAGTTCTTTCGGGAGGGGTTCTCTGGAGGGGAGGAGGACGGTCCTCAGACAACTTAAAGAACTCCCAGCCCCCAACTCAACGTTGCGTCTTGGCCGCATTCTTCGAATCGCAAACATGGACAAGAACGACGTTACAACGGGGCTTCCGTTGTGTTGACGCCGGGAAACGTCGCAAGCGTGTCGGGATACAGAGAGTTCGCTCCTCCTTCTCCCCGGACAGCGTCTTGATGTCCCGCTTCAGGTCGCGGATCTTCTGCTTGAGCTCCTTCGTCTCTCGCGTCTTCCTCCGCGCCAAGGTGCTCGACTCAGATCGCGGCAAGGAGAAATTGCCCACGGCAGACAAGCAAGAAGACAACCAGATTGTCCTAGTCGTGGATGTCACTGAGGCCGCCCGTCCCCGCATCGTCCACGCCCTGCCGCTGTGCAACTCGGTCTATGGTCCGCCGACCAATATCGCCATCACGCCCGGCGGCCGCCTCGGCCTCGTGGCCAGCCCCATGCGGATCATGCGGGAGGGCGCGTGTTGGGGGGCCGAGCCCGACGACCGGCTGCCCGTGATCGATCTGGCAGTTGAGAAGCCGGCCCTAGTAGAGTCGATCATGGTCGGCTGGCAGCCCTCCGGCCTCGCGATCGGGCCGGACGGTGACGTGGCGCTCATGGCCAACCGCGCGGGTCGCTCCATCACCGTGCTGTCAATTGAGGGGCGCATGGTCAGGCCTGTCGCCGAGGTCGACCTGGGCGAGGAAGTCGCGGGCGTGGCGATCGCGCCTGATAGCCGCACGGCGCTCGCCGTGAAGAACAGGACGGGCTTCATGGCGGTACTGCGCCTCGACAGCCGGCGGGCGAGCCACGATCCCGCCGCCGACCTACCGGTGGGCTTCGACGTGTACAGCGCCGACTTCACCCCCGACGGCCGGCTGGCGATCACCACTAACACCGGGCTCGCGAGCGACGGGCACGCCGACACCGCGAGCGTGATCCGCTTCGACGGACTGCGCCCGCAGGTGAGCGCCGACGTCACCATCGGCGACACGCCCGAGATGCTGGCGATCGCGCCGGACGCGTGCCACGCGGTCGCGGTCATGGTGCGCGGGCCCTGATCCAAACTCACGATGGAACAACAAGTTTCCCGCATACGCCGTGTCCTCGCAATCTCAATCATGGCGTTCTCGCCCGGCCTCCTCGCCGAGACCTGTCGTCATCGCAATGGCAGCACAGCGTAATAAGAGTCATACACGCTGCGTTCCGAACCCGATCAATAACGCAGACGCTCGCAACAGTCGCAACTTTTGTCAGCGGTTTTGCAGAACCAAGGCGCATTTCAGGCGGCGCGCGCAGATGCCTCGCCCGATGGCATTCCGCTCATCATGGCGGGTGACTTGTTTCCAGTCTCACGCGGTCGCAGCGTTATAATCCGTTTTGTCCGGAGAGGCGATGGACTCCTCCAGCCACAAGCCCCAACTCGAACTTCTTCATGACGACATGTCTAAGGCTCTACGCCGGAGCAAGGACGACAGCACAGGACGGATGTTTTTCAACCGCAGCGAGGTGGTAGGCGTTCCCTTGTCAGCCGTTTTGGTTGCTCAGGTGCTCGCGAGCTCTTGAACAGAGAAGCGCACAGAACCTATAACGAGGCGTCGCCAGCTCTTTCCATCCTCTCGACTCGTGTAGCTGGGGAACCTCTCGCCTGCATCACGGCGTATCTACGGTACTGTCTGGAATGTCATCGTGCTCGTTCATATATACAGCACCAGACGCAAGCCTGTGCCGGCTACCGTGAGGACGAACCCACGATCCAAACTTGTGAATCAGCTGGCTGACGATTCCCTGTAGGAAAAGTTTGACTCGATCGAAGAGGTTCTCCGCCCTGCATTGCTGTACCAAAACAGGGTCATCAGTCAGCGAAACAACTCGCCATTCTCGGTCAGCTCTGATGCAACGCTCGTCGACATGAATGCTACATGCCAAGAGTCTTCAACGGTGTTCGGCCAAGAAACATCATACTTTCGCATTCGACAGAGAGGACATCCGGCTCTGCTTGCGACGTGTTCGATGAGTTTACAAAACGTCTCAACATGAACGCCGTGGTCGTTAGGGGTTGGTATCCTGGGGATTTCTGGTTCGACTGCGAGCGGCGAGGGTGCGGAGGCCTCTGATTCGGCGACATAACCAGTCTTGATGCCGCGGCGTTGACGGTTGCGAGTGCCAGGCGGCGGTGACAGCTCGACATTGGCGCACCAGAATCTCGCCTCTCTGCCTCGGGGCTTTATGATCACAAGAACCAGCACGGTGAAACCTGGTCAGACGCTCCGCGTGGTCGTACGCTACATCGACGTTGGCCTGGTTGTGTGCATCGGAGGGCTGGAGGCTACATCATCGAGTGGTTGTGCGATGAGCTGGCTCAAACCGTCACATCGAGCGGCGGCCAATCGACAATGGTTCAGCTAAGCCACAAAGACGCACGCGAACGATCGACATGGCCATTGTCGGGGCGTCTGGGACGAAAGATGCAGCTAGAGTACAGCCGATCGCTGGCAGACTATCCTCTCCGGGACCATCCCTGCGCCTGGGAAAGGGACTCTCACTGCTGGAGACATTGGCTGCCAGGACAGAGTTTTCTCGCCGAGTCATACAGGCGGTGGCAGCGAGGGCTCCCGCTGCGATGGGCCTGAGAAGTTATGTGCCCTTCTTCGTCGCCGTCCAGTCATCCGCCAAGGTTATCTGCAGCTCCAGTCTCCACAGACGCGCGTTCAAACTGATGATTCCGAGGGTCTTCGGTTGCCGACAACATGATGTTTCAACAAGGCTCGTGTCCGCTCGAACGGGGGCGACCGCGTACAAGGTCGGCGTCACTAGGTGCCACAGACAGAGGAACGAGTTCGTCGCAGCCGTCAACTTCTCGCCGCCTAAAAGGCGCGCGGGAGAATTTCCCGAGGGGGCGATCAATCATGTCAACGGCGACGTCGCATGTGACGAACAGGTGGCAGCTGATGGCCGGAGAAGCAAGTCACCTGCCGCCCTGGACTAGGTGGCTCTGAAGCAACCGCGGGACAGTTTCTCTATCACCAAGAATAGAGTGCTAGAGGCCGATGTCGCCTACAGCGATTTCGACCCAGCAAGGGACCTCTGATCCACCGCCAGGCCGCATTCCTGGTCCCTCGTCCAGGCTGGCGGAAGATGGAAAGGAAGAGGAGTTCGCCTCGCGGCCATGTGGTCGGCGAAGTCGAGCAATCTCTACGCCGCTGGCGAATTGGGAATGCTTGGTGCCGATCGGACGGTCGACGAGGCTAGGTGCCGGATCCTCGGGTCATTGGCGTGGGATTGTGGCTATGTCAGTGGATGGGACGCCTCTACTTGATTTTTGGATGGCATTACTGCCGGATGGGATGTGAAAAGCGATAGACTGCTCCTCGTTCCGCTGTGAAATCGTCTCGCCGGTGTGAACCTTGGTCCTTGTTCCGTCAAGTTGAAAGCATGCTCGTTCCCTGGCTGTTGGTACAATCGCTGCCCTGTGCTGCTACATGCGATGGGACAGCATCTCCATCTTGTAACAGACGCCGGTGGGACCATGATTGTTGTGCGGTGAAGATCAAATCCGCCAAGATCAAAGCCTCGGACAAGCTCAGTCAGTTTTCTCCCAGCCTTTCGGGCGGTGACCTCGGGAGACTTGCCTCGGTCTGGCATCTATAGACAATGGTCACTAGTTGTTACGACAAGACGCCTGCTCCAAAGCAACGTGGCATCGTTTATGTGGCGTTAGATATCCAGGCTCTCGACACAGCATGTCCATCACCACGTTCCGTGTCTGGCGTCTATAGGCAGTAAGATCGCCGTCACTCGCTCCACCAACCCGATCCGCACCACCGTCAGCTCTCCTCATTCTGTTGAACGTATCTCCCAAGCTTCGATACCGAAAAAGCATCCCACGCATACAAATCGCATGTCTTGCACACCCTTTCCCGGACGTCTGCCGCAAGATGGAAGTCTCAGCAAGCTGCTTGCCAGGAGTTGTTTCCAAAAATCGGTGACTCTCAGGGACCCTTCCACATATCTACCACGGCCATCGCGGCCCGGCTCGTGCCGTACTTCATACTACAGCAACACATGGCTCCCGTGGCACCGAACCTCGTGTCACCCAGCAAGTACCCAGCGACGAAGAAGCATTCGGGAGAAACGGACTTGGGCCCGGGTCTCGCAACGACTGACATGACGGACACAAGTGAATAAAGACTTCACAGGTAGCAGCCACGCGTGGAGCATCGGCCGCTCACTGCGGTTCTTCCCGGCCAACCTGCCGTCCACTGACGCTGCATGGCCATTAGTCTTTCACGTTCATAACGGTAAAACATGCCAATGAGGCGTTGCCGGCCTTGGCAACGAATGTATCGCCGGGATCGCAGGCGTGAATGCTGCCGATCCGTTTGATGGGATGGTTGATATTATCACCCTTCCTTCGATCAGCTGCGGTGCCGTCTGAGAAGGCGACCAACAGCGGGTCTCCAATCTCGCCGTCTTTGTTTCGACGCTCAGCGTCAGTAGAAAAGAGACTCTCTTTGTCTGTACTTCTCCGCCGGAGTGACATGCCCCGTTTTAGAGTCGAGACCTGCACAAGTCATGAATACTTCGAAGAGGGCGAAGAGAAAACACCTTTTCGTCTAAGAAAATATCCCTTCCACTACCGCACGTTCACCTCGGCCTTCGTCTTCTTCTCTTATTGATGTGTCTACTGGTCTTGAGGGTCGGCGAGGCGGCATCGACGTATCTGCCAATTCGGCTGATCCAATCGTCGGGACAGTTGAGGAAGAGATTGTCCTGGGGAACTTCGCCTCACAAGACTTTCGCAATGCTCTTTCTGATGGCCCCAGGTACTGCTGTGGGGTGCACCACGCCCTTGACGAACATTGTTTGTTCAAGATAGTCGAGGTAGGACTGATATTGACCTGTAGAGTGTGAGTGGCAAGTCTGAGTGCTCTGTCAAGTAATCGCAAACGTCTTGGGTGCTTCTCGGCCACAGAAGAAACGCTCAGGCTATTCGAATAGCCGACATTAGAGCCGCCATTTGGTTTGAGGAAAAGGTTACCGTGATGAATCAAGCTATAGAATGGGCGACAGAGCTTAGAATGCAAGACTGATTCATAGATGCCGTATGGTTGGATTGTTTTGCGGGCAGCTAGAGTGTCCGGTGCCGAGCGGGGCATCCATCCATCCCGTCTCACTCCGGCTGGACCGGCTCAGCACCTCCTTCCCTCGAGGAGCCCCAGGTGTCGGGCGAGGGAGGCACCTTCCAACTAAGCCAACCCTTCTCTCTCAGAGCCAAACTCAACGTCAACCCACCTCATTGCTGCTTTTCAATCATCTTAAACCTCTGTCGGTATCTTCCCATGAACGCTTGATCCGCACGAGGGATTTCCAATTGCTACAACCGCAACGTCGCGTCCATCACGTCCACTGATTCGGTCCTCCGCCTTGTGGCCCTTCACCCAATACGCCACTCCACGGTCACTGTCGAGATTTTCACGTAACTAGAGACAGGCTACCAGAGCGACAAACGGCAAAACATGAAGCATGACAAGTGCAGCAAGCAGCAGCGGTGCTCTCCGCCGCGTCACCAGTCGATCCACGGTGGCTAGAAACGTGGCAACCCTTGGGCCGTATTCCGAACCGATGAGCATCTCTCCGTGCCCACAGCAGCCATTCGATGCCCGGAATCCCCTCTTTTGAGACAGGCGGAGCTTCATTCATCTTCGCTTTGGACGAGCCAATCTTCACAGTCTTAAAGCCTGATGCAAGTCTCTTCTTCATCTTATCACCTTTCCACGCCCATGCCCTCATGCAGCGCTGACTTTAATGAAGCCCGTATAATCTATCATATCAAAAGCATGCAGAACTTTGCCGCCTGCCCGATCCCAATATGCGCCAAAGAACCCGAGTCCATGATCACCTTCTCGACACGACGCAAACTAGTTGCCCGGACGCGTTCTCAACGCAGCCACGCAGCTCCCGAGGTCCTGAACTAGGCATCGGAAACCGTCGCACGCAATCCACGGCCTGGGTGGACTTGGCCCTGTCAGAGCTGTTCGTCATTGACTACTCATGCCGAGTAAGTTGACCGCATTCTCAGCAGGAGACGAAGCGTTGCCGGGACGTTGTTTGGCGCCATCATCTACAAGCATCGATCTGCATGTTCCCAAGGCAATTCAGACGTCTCTAGAGCCGCCGCCGCACATGCCGAAGCAACAGAATTTTGCATTTCCCCGCTCTCGTCGCCGATGGCTCGATGAAAACCGGAGCGAGTAGTGAACTTCCCTCGAAAGTTCATCCCAACAGGGCGACTCTACTGATTGCGAAACTTCCGCATCATGGTGATTGGAGACTGGCCTGCTGAGACGCCGAGTCGAAGCATGTTCCTGTCCATCGGTACGTTTGGGAGGGCACCCGAAGAACAACTGAGTCCACCTCGATCATCTCGCTGGGGATATTGCTGGAGTTGTGACCAGGAAGGCGAGCAAGACTGCTCAGTATCCGATACAATCTATCAGGTTACTACTCAGTCCAGCCCGCAGCAGGTCAAAAGGCTGAGAAGGATCTCATGATGAAGCGGGACACAGCCGACCAAGAAGTTTGGATGTGAAACCTGGCCTTGTGGTTCAGAAGGGATCCCGTTTTCCGAAGGACAGAGGCCGAGAGTTTTGTGAAAAGAGGTCGCGTCCTACACGATGCACAAGCAGCTCTGACTGCTGGTCGCTGACGCCGCCTCAACAGACTCCGTGATCGTTCACCAACGTTCATGATCTCAACTTGCAGACACCGGCCTACTTCTCATTCCGATTACCAACGATTTGAGTCGTCATAGAAGAAAACAAGAACTTCCGCATGGTTGTCACGTCTCTGCAACGAATACGCATCAAGGCTTTTCAATAACCACACTCCCAGTCTTGGTTTCACCTTGTCAATGGCCCAGATGGAGAACAAACAGGTTCTGACCGTCAAGAACGTAGATAGGTCAGCTCATCGCGTGCATAACAGACCATGTTAAAAGCCTGCACAGTTGTGACTGAGTCTTCACATCCCATCAACACTAAAGGAATTGCATCAACCTTTGGAGCGGTATCGCAAGCTGCAACGAGTGCAGTGTTCCCCCATGCGTCCGGCCATCAATGTCTTGCTGCCGGCACCCGTGACATACACGTGATGGTGTGATATGCTCCCAAAATCCGGATAATCACCTGCAGGAGAGGTCAGGTTCACGAAGGAGGTTGAGCGAGCCGAGGAGTTGCTATGAGAAGCTGAAGAGAGGTGGGTACGTGCATATGATGTTGCCTCAGTCGCTGCAATCATGGTCGAGGGAGAGAGGAGATCACTGCAGATGGACGAGGGCCTGGAAGTATTCCAAGAGGAGGCGGCCAGGAACATACGCCGTCGGGGTCAAATACGCTCTAGGGTGATGCAGATTGGTCTTACCCAAAAGGGCACCGGATGTTGCTTTACCGCATAGCAGCGAGGACATACGCAACCACAGTTAATGGCGGCAAGTTTCATGGACACCAGGATTGCTCTAGTGCACACAGAAGAACCGACGTCCAAGGCTGCTGCTGCCATTGTTCAAGCCTACCTTTCCATGAGTGACGTGATCTGGTGCATGAGGCAGGTCGAGACATCAATCAGGCTGACAGCTTCAGATCTGAGAGACGTGCAAAGGCGAGTATGATATGTGGCACGGGCGAAGGGTGGCCGCAAAGCACAACGGCGCGGCGTGGCTTCCATAAAGAGAGGTAAAATACCTTCCTGACCTGACCTTAGGTAGTCCAGCGCCGCATCCAGGGTCCAATCCGTCAGGATGGATTACATCCATGGATGCAGGCGCGGGCTGAGCCGAGTAGCTGCCCCAAGACCGGAGTTGATTTTGGGAGTCGGGTTGGGGAGTCGACGAAGCATCCTCTTCGGACGGTGCACCAAGTCCATGGATGACAGGCGTCGCGGACTGCCTGCCGCATCCTCCTTTTGGGGGTGATGATAGATGTTGAGCTGCAAGCAGGTCCCATCCACCAAGGGGTTCGCGAAAAACGGCAAGAGGACGGCAAGCCCTTGCCAACGTCATAGAAGGTGCCGAGGTCGGAAGGGGCTGCTTCCACATCCAGGCGAACGCCGCCCGTCTTGTGTTCTTCTCGAAGAACAGAATGCTGTCAACTCAAACGCTCCACCAACTAATCCATCGAAGCCACGTACGTACGAGCCACGGCAGATATCGAACTAGTCGCCCTGGCTGGAGACCTTGACGTCCTGGTCCGCTGGGATCGCGTCGCCGAGTTCAACCTTGTACGCCGCAGCGAACACCGCCTTCGCTGTGTGGTGGCTCTGGGCCTCCTTGCGGAACGGCGCATTGCAGCAGACGATTCTCGATTGCTGGGTAGGTCTTTGACAGTGAACGCAGTCTCGGGCGAGAAATCAGAGCAAGAGTCGGGCTCGATTGCCGCACCGGTTGTGGCCAGAGTAGAACTCCTGCATCGCTTCGGTCATGACAGGCGCGGCATGGTACCGATCGCCTGTGGTTCGCCGCGCATGACGATCTCCAACCAGTCGGACCGCGCGACCGAGTCCGACAGATTGCACAGCTTGCACAGCTCGCCATCAAACGCGTAGGCGCAGGCCTTCTTAGCAAGTGACTTCAAGATACCCGCGCGAATTCTTCGTCGGTGGCCCCAGCATCAAAACTTCGTCAGAAAGCTAAAGGTCAACCAGAATATTGCGTTTCCGCCCACTCCCACCTTCGATTGTGAATATGCCTCCGGTCGGCACGCCATTGCTCGCAGCAGGCGGTCTGCCATCGATCGGATCGAGAACACGCAGAAACGGTTGCTCGGGGACGTCGCGTTGCAGTCAGATGCCTATTGAATCAGCCACCAACGCTTCGAGTTCGGTCATGGCAGCACGGGGCGTATCTCCGTGGATTCGGTCACCTGCCGAGCATCAACCCTCGAGGACCATCCCTCCGTTGCGAAATGACCTCGCTAGCACACTTGAAGCGGACCCGCTGGCCCTTTCGTCCTTCGCAGTTCCAAGATCGTGCGCCGCGGCGGTTCTCACGGTTCTGTTGCGTCAAAGATGGTTGCGACGTTGTTGTCGTCAATTGGGTGATGACAGCCGCGGCGGCGCGGGATACACTCGGGAACCGGATCGAAGACGAACGATCCGAACAGCCCGCGCCACGCCACAGGACTTTCGCCAGCTATCTTCGAGATGCCGTTCGCGGTCGTCCTCCTGGTCTCAAACATCGAAGTCGCCGCAGTGCTCTGCTGCTGTCGGCGGAAGGCTGGAAGATTCGTCGTACGCGGGGAACCAGCGGCGACATAGGCGAGAACGGGACATCCGATGCGTCTCCAATATGATGGGGTTCTTCGCGCTCAATTTCGAGAAGCGTGCGGCCTCGGCCTCGGTGGAGAACGTGCGGCATGCGATAGAAATCGGCACCAAGTATGCCGGTGCACCACGTGTGACGTCTCTCCGCCTGGTTCGAAATTCCCCTGAGTTTGTCTCTGCAGAAAGTTCCCACGGATTGAGAAGCTTGCTCTCGTAGAAAGTTTTTACTTAGGAAGCTCCCACCAGAAAGCTCCCTCCGACAGGGGAGCCCTGCGGGACTGTAAAAGGTCCGTCGTTGGAGCAACATCAGGGTGAAGCGTCCATGGGCGCCCCTTCGCGGATGGGGAAGTACTGTGGGTCTGGCATTTGTTCGTCATGCCTCCCTGGATATCATGATGGGGATCCAGGTGTGTATAAAGGGCCATACGCGTAAGTGTGGGAGCCGTGCCGGCCATCTGCTCGAATCGTGCGTCGCGTTGGGACAGTCGGCGAACCTGGGGAAGAGGAGAATCGGTCGTTCGGCGCACATTCTAGCGCGCGACAGGCAAGCGGACGTCGCGAAGCAGCCCGGTCGGGATATCGTGGCGAGAATTATTCTTCCCTGGCGGGGGCGCGCTGTTCACTCTAGGTCTGACCTGACCTGACCTGACTGCGCCGCAGCGGGAGCATCTTGCCATACTGGCACCATTCAGAAATAGATCGGATCTGTATCCGCTCCCGGAGACTGGATGAATCGGGTTCAGGGGCTCGTGGCATTCCTTACCGGGCTGCGAGTAGGTTTTGCAGAATGATAGACACGGCCGGCTACTTTATCGCTAAGGGCGCCTGCGCTTGCTGCGATGTTGTCGGTTGAAAGCGTTCGTCGCTGAGAACAAAAAACCAGCAAGCAGCCAGGGCTAATAACTCCGCACGCGCCAGGGGGCGAATCTTACTAATCCCGACATCCGCCCAAGCGCCCAGAATAATTAGGGAAATTTACCACAGCTCTCTAGATAGCTAGAGAAATATATATTGTTTTTATTATTCTTTTTATTAAAAAAGCTTTTTTTAGGAGTATTAATTATAATAAGAAATATTAAGATTTAAATAGTTTTTAATTATTATATTATAGTTTTAAACTACTTAGTTAAGATATATTATTTTAATTTAAAAGTATTTATTTAGCTTAATATATTATAGATTTTATATTTAAGTTTAAGTTTATTTTATATTTTTAACTTTTTTATTTTAATAATAAGTATTTTAATAGTATATATAATATTTAAATATCTCTTTTCTACTTTAATTCTTCTTATTAGTTATTAACTAATAAGCTTTAAAGCTATTAAAATATTATATCTTTATATTATATATTATTAATATTAAGCTTTTTAAGAATCTATATATTAAGTTTTCTATTTATTATAATAATAATTACTACTCTTTGATAAAACCTTTATAATAGTTATACTACTTATAATTAATTTAGTAATAATATACTTTTTAAATTAGCTTTTTAATTAATTTTAAGTTTTAATTTAAAGCTTTTAGCTTATAAATACTTAATATAACTTATAATAGATTTATAGATTTATAATTAAAATCTATATAAGAAACTAGATATAAACCTCTATACTAAAAGATAGAATACTATAAATGAAACTAGTATTTATTTAATATACTATTATTATATATAAATTAAGTATATATTCTATATAATTCTAGTTAAGTTTAAGTCCTATTATCTTAATAAATCTACCTCTTATTTATATTACCTTTTAAGATTAGCCTTTAGCCTTTAGACTCTTATAATTTAATTTATTTAAAAAGAGACTATATTTTATATTTATTTATTTTATTTTTAGGTTTTAATTATTAAATTTATTTATATAGAAGTAAGCTAAAAAGTTTAGAGAGAATTTTATATTTTAAAGTAAAATATATTAAGGCTTTCTTTTTAAATAAGATATATAAATCTTTACTATATTTTATACTTTAATTTTATATATTATTAAGAGAGATTATAGTTACTATTAATACTATTTAGTAAAGTTTTAAATATTAAAATTAATTAAAAGGAAAATATATAATAAATATTAAATTTAAAATAATATTAAGCTTAGAAAATATTAAGCCTATAGAATACTATAATACTATTATAAAAATACTCTTTTATTTAAAAATAATATAAAAGTATTAAAAAGTATATAATTATAATATTTAATAACGTAGTTAATAAGCAAGCTGCCTAGATAAGCAAGCTGCCCACTTAACTATAACTATATTGTATTTCTAACCAATATATACCACCTAGGAAATCAATTGAATTCAAACTAGTTAAGGTCCTCTTCTCTAGATATTTCTTCAGTAAATTGACATATTTGCGCATTATACCTAGTGTTCCTATATACACTATACCGCTATTAGCCCGTCTCAGTCCTTAGTTGGCAACCACTACTCCAGCGTATTTCCTCCTCAATCTGGGCTGTAGCCTCCCTCTATGATTAAAGGTTCTCAGCCTTACCTATAGTAAGACTCCCTCCTTATCTAAGCTAGGCTTTTTTAGCCCTCTAGTATTAGCTAAGTAGGTTATTTTCTTCCTAAAGGATTTAGTTCTTAGACCTTAATAGGGCAATCTAGTATATAAATCTATACGCCCCCTTTAATAAATGCTTAATAGCCTTAATAATTAAAGTTAGTAAGCTATTTTAATAGTAGGAGATTTAATTCTTAATAAGTTTAAACTAAGAAGATACTTCTATTAGGTTATTTAGTATCTAGGAAGTCTATATAGGGGGTATTATTAGGAGGGACCCTAGAGGTATTAGAGTATATAGCTTTATATTAAGCTTTAAAAGTATACTTTTTATACTTAGAGGGATAAGCCTAGCCCCTCTAAAACCTCCCTAAATGTTTTTAACTATAAGGGCTTATATAAAGGTGTTATAAAATATAGAGAAGAAGTCTTCCTTTATAATATAGGTATTACCCTAGCGTATTTTATCCTTAATTTATTAACTATATACCTTCTTTAAGGGCTTAAAATACCTAACGTCTAAGGGCTAAAGTAAATAAGAGGAATAGGCTAGTATATAAAGGGTAATAATATTATTTTCCTTATAATATATCTTAAAGTTAGTAGTATAGTAACTTTTATAACTATTAATAATAAGGAGGTAGTATTTACTACTTATATATAGTTTTATATATTAATTAAAGTATTTAACTTAATCTAGGCCTCTTTTATTTATTATCTATCCGTTTTTAGACGTTATAATAACCTAGTTACGCGGGAGACCCGTTTCTATATACTAGGTAGAGAGGTGATATTGCCCTATAACGATAATATATAGTGGAACGCTATAGCCTAACGAACTAATAGCCTAGATAACTATAACCTATTTATAGTTATTAGGCTATATTATTTTTATATTTAAATGCCTTTTAGCGCTTAATATAACTATTCTAGATATAATCTAGCCTATTATAAACTTAGTCTTATTAAAGTTATAGATATCTAAGTCTATAATACTATATTTTATAATTATATTTACTATAAGCTAAAACTATATATTTATTATATCTAGGTCTTTATATTAAGCCCTCTTATAGTTATACTTATAATAAAAGCGTATCTAGAGCTCTAATTATTACTTAATAAAGTTTAAGGCCTAGTGCTTCCTAATAGGGGGCATATTATAGTTAGTAAGCAGTTAATTAGCTATATCTTCTATACTATTAATATAGGGAGGAAATAATTAGGAATCTAGGTTGAGAATATATTTAACTAGCTTCTCTTCTTCTAGTAGCGTTAGCTTTTATAAGTTTAGTATAGTGTCTTACTATATAGGTATGCCTTTTAAATAGATACCTAAGGTCCTAAGAGGGACTAAGTAGATCTTAGCTACTACTTAAATACTTAGTTTTAGGGTTTTTCTAATAGCTTAGATTACTACGTTTAATTATACTTCTTTAGTTTATAATATTATAGTTTTATTATAGCGTTATATAAGGTAGAAGGTAGAAGATAAGATAGTTACAGTTAGGTAGGCAGCTCGCTTATCTAGGCAGCTTACTTATTAACCACGTTATCTTTATTATATATATAGCTAATTATTATTATAGGCTTAAGCCTTATAGCTTATATATTAAGGCTATAATAATAGTACTATAATCCTACT